TCCATTGGACATCAGCAAAATCCCTCATTCCACAGTCTCTTCTGAATCCAGCTTTAACCTCTGAAAGTTCTCTGTTAATGCATGCTTACAGCCGTTCCAAGTAAAATGAAATCTTTAACAACTTGAATCTTTTCTCTATTTACCATGATGCTTGTTGGTACAGCTGTGAGGATTTTTGTTTTAAGCTAAGAGGCAATCTATGTTGTTGTTGTTGTTGTTTGTTGCCACTGAGTTGGTACTGACCCATAGCAACCTTATGCATAGCAGAACGAAACACTGCCCAATCCTGGGCCTACCTCACTATTGTTGTCACGCTTGAGTCCATCGATGCTGCCATTTGGTCAATCCATCTCCTTGGGGTCTTCCTCTTCCTCTTTTCTCTGACCCTCCACCTTACCAAACATGATACCCTTCTCCAGTGACTGGTCCCTCCTGACAATATGTCTGAAGTATGAGAGACGAAGTATTCTTTGATCTTTGTCAGTAAGAGCTTTAAGTCTTTCCTTTCAGTAAGCAAAGTTGTGTCATCTGCTCATCACAGATTGTTAATGTCTTCCTCCAATTTGGACGTCATGTTCTTCATATAGTACAGTTTCTCAGATTATTTACATCGACAGGGAACTTGAAGAAAATTAAGCTGAATTCAGAAGAGGACATGGAATGGGGGATATCATTGCTGATATTAAGATAGATCATGACTGAAAGCAGAAAATGGCAGAAAGGTGTTTACTTGTGCTTCATTGACTATGTAAATAAATTCATCTGTGTGGATCACAATAAATTATGGATGACATTGTAAAGAATGGGGAATTCAGAAAACTTATTGTGTTCATGTACAACCTGTGCATAGACCAAGAGGCAGTTGCTCAAACAGAACAAAGAGATACTATATAGTTTTCATTAAAAAAAAAAAAAAATGTGTGTCATGGTTTTATCCTTTCACCATACTTACTCAATATAAATAGTATTTCACAGAGTACAATTGCTGAATCAGTTAATGTTATCACTGTTAATCATGGATCTGAACAATAGCTAACAGTTGCTAATATTGTCATATTACTTGAAATAGTTTGTAATATACCTTTGACCTATAACTTGCTGTTGTTAAGTGCTGTCAAGTTGGTTCAGACCCATAGGTTTCTGAGGAGCTGCTGGTGAGCTTTAACTGCCGACCTTGCAATTCAAATAGCTTTGCAGTCTGGTACATTAACACACAGCACCACACCAGGACTCCTATAATTTATAATTTAGCATCTAGTATATATGGAGTTACATTAAATCATTATGACACAGAGGACAGATGACAAATATCATGTGGTTCAAAGTACTATGCTCTGGATTAACTTTTCTTTTTGCTTATTATATTTATACACCCTTGCCTGACAACATTGAAGAACCCTGGAAAGTAGGAATAATGGATGCTTTCATAAAAACGACTTCATTTGTGCTAGGACTTTTTTTTTTTCCCTTCAAGATACCAGAATGTTGGTTTATGAGAGCAAATACATTTTCAATTAGTATTTAAAAAGAGGCTTTGATTTTTCCTTGGTATAAATCATCCAAATGGTATCAATGTGTTTGATTTAATTGATCATTAAGGTATTTACTTGTGTCTGTATAAAGAGCAAAAGTTATAATCGTTGCTAATATGATTCTCTATATAAAGATAAAGACATCATGTATGGTGATAGAATAAGAGAAATGGTGTTTTCTAAAAATGAATAGCTTTGGAGATTGTTAGAATATTAGATTTAACATTGCCAAGAAAACTCATAAATTCTCTTAAAACTTATGTGTAAATGAAGGAAAAGGAAGACACAATGCTTCCGTTAAAGTATATATATTTTAAAAAATGGGATCAGTTTTTGGTAATGAGACCTGGAAAAGTCCCATTGCCACACTTCGAAAAGCATTACTCTTGTTTATCTTCAGTCCTAATTTGTAGGATTGTAGAGTTTTTTCTGTCACTCTTAATATGTGGTGTGGTTTGAGGTTCATGTAAAATGAGGTCCTTTGTAAAATGTAACTTAATTTCTATGTTTCATTTTGGAGATGTTTGAATATTACAGGATTTCCACAATAATCTCCCCATAATCCCCACTGTCCTAAAATATTGTATGTGCTTTAATCAATTTATATAAAAGGGTAACAATTCAGAAAAGCTATTGCAGTTACAAAGCAACAGTGTAATATGAACTCAGATCTGTCTTTTTTTCAAATGATTCACATTCTCTGCCAATCCATGTTGCTATATGGAAGTCTTACTAAAGTTAGAGTTATTTGGGTACATAAGGAAAAGGTAGCTACAAAGAATAAATGATCTGAGAAGAAAGAATATTTACTGGAATATTAGGAAGAGGTTGTTCACTGTTTCACAGAAGATACGAGAGTTCTGTTGAATCAGTGACCATCTCCTATTGAAAAGCCTATTTGAAGAGTCACCCCCCCCCATTTTTTCCTCCTTATTAATTGTTAGTGCCTCATCTTATCCCTCTCTCCCTATTTTCTGGAGAAAAGACAAATAAACAATGGCTAGTTGTACAGAGAAACTATTCTATTAGCTTACTTTACTTTCTCATATGTCCTCCAACTTCAGAATGACAGATGCTTATTTCTCCACCCATGTCAACACATTCTGAAATCTGTGACTAAAATTAAGTTTCTATTTTCTATATTAAAAAATAGAATTAGGACATTGAACATTTAAAATAAAATTGTTGACAAATGCATTTGTTTAGCTCTGGTATCGTAGTGGTTACTAATTGGGTTGTGAACTGCAAGGTCATCAGTTTGAAACTACCAGCTGTTCTGCAGGAGAAAGATGAGGCTTTCTGCTCCTGTAAAGATTACAGCCTTGGAAACCCTGTACAGGGTCGCTATGAGTTGGAACCGACTCCACGGCATGTAACAACAATAACAACATACCCACTAAAGATGTATATGTAAGTAGAATGAAAATATTGAGAAAATCACTTTAAAGATTATGCTAGTAATTAATCAATTTCTGCCTACCCTTGTCATGACTGAATTAGAGTCATTTAAGTGATTCTAGATGAGAAATTAGTATTTATTTTATGTCAGAGAAGTAAGCATAAGAGTTCTTGATAAAATGGTGCATAAATATGTAAAACTGAAATTACACATATATGAGCTTTAGAGTCAATCAGTCTGACTTTAACAGCCTTCTCAGTGCTGTTGAAATCTGAATCCTAGTATGAGTATGACTTTAATGTCCTCTCTTCAGCTTCTTGCCTTCAAAGCTGCCTGAGAGATTTCAAGATGCCACTGTTGGTTATGCTGTACCTCAGGATTTAATTTAATTTTTTGTCTGTTTTATTTTAAAACTCTCTTTCCCTCTTTCCACCCCTGTCCTGACCTTTCCTGTATTAAAAACAAACAAACACAAAAACATACAAAAAAATGAGTTCAGGGCCAGCTCTTGGTCTGAGAGTATCTATGTGAATGCATGGCAGAAGAACCCACCAGTGGTGAGGGTGGGGGATGTCTACTCACACAGGCACTGCCCCCCTAGTCACTAGAAGGGAGATGCACAAACAGTGGGGTGGGAGGGCTACTGAATATATACCAAAAAAAAAAAGAATTAGAACAAAGCAAAACTGACAAAGTGTATTGTCCACCTTTGCTCAGAGATTCACATGGCGTCTATACATGGTGTGTCTGCTCCCCAGCTTGGTCTTGCCATTTGGTCTCGCCAAGTTGTCAGCTCTGGGCCACTGAGCCTGGTAGATTCAAAAGTAACTGATTTCTTACTTCAGCCTCAAGTTCCACTAGCTATAAGCCTTCAAACTTTAAAAATATTCATACCTAGTGGTTCCGAGTTTTGAAACTCTGCCCTGGATCTGCTTTGCCTGGTATTCTGTGGTATTGCTGATGGTGAATTTCACTGCACCTCCACCCTAGCCTCCATCAAGCCCTGCCTCCTCACTGGCTCTTGATCGTATGCTACCTCTTGAAATTATTGAACATTAACCATTTCCTTTTGGTACAGTGACTCTGTGTATTCCTTCCATTGTCTCTTGATGCTTTCTGAATCTTTCAATAATGTGTCCAGAGAATCTTTCAATAATGAAAGTTGAAGCTTGAATTTTTTCTTCAGTTCCCCCAGCTTCAGAAATGCTGAGCGTGTTCTTCCTTTTTGGTTTTCTGATTCCAGATCTTTGCACATTTTGTTGTAATGTTTGGCTTTATCTTCTTGAGCTGGTCTTTGAAGTTTTCTGTTCAGCTCTTGTACCTCCTCATTTCTTCCATTTGCTTTAGCATCTCTACACTGGAGAGCAAATATCAGTGGTTCTTCTGACATCCATTTTGACCTTTTCCTTCTTTCTTGTCTTCTCAATGACTTTTTGCTCTCTTCCTGTATGATATTCTTGATGTCATCCCACAACTCTTCTGGTCTTCGGTCTTTAGTGTTTAATGTATTTATAAGTGTAGGTGATTGTTTTTATTCTTTATTTACATGGTACACCTTTTTGTATTATTATTATTTCTTTCATTCCAGAGCATACATACTATGACAACCTGAATAAATGGACTGCAAACAAAGTTGATGCTGTTGTTGTAGTAGTGGAGTAAGATAATTACAACTTTCATTATTTTAATATTATAATTTTCACTGTAATTACTTAGAGATTTGGTTTACAAATCAAATCACCTAAGCCTTGAAAAATACTGTGAACTTAGTCATTTTTGGTACATAAAACTATGTTTTATTGACAATGTTAATCTTCACAATTCCCCAAAGGGGTCCAATTTCTTTTTAAACTCAGTTTAATAGAGGATTCCGGGGTAAGCATCTTTGATAACACAACTGTAGTAATCTCTAGGCTGTCCTAAAATGACCTAGATTTATCTTCTGTTAATTACAGTTAATTAGAAGGAGGGAGTTTGTTGTTGTTGTTAAGTGCCATGGAGTCGAATCTGACTCATATCGACCCTGTGTATGATTTCCATGGAAGGACTGGTGAGTTTGAACTACTAACCTTGTGGTTCAATCTGATATTGTGGTCTAGACTTTATAACATAGTGCCACACCAGGACATAATTGCTCATTAAAATTTGAGATGTTTAGTTTTGTTTGCACTGGCAATAAACTGATTAGTTTTAGATTTATTCTTGTTTGCAGGATTATCAGGTGGCAAACATGTTATTTTTGTTGTTGTTTAAGTGCCATTGATTCTGTTCCAACTCATAGTGACCCTGTATAGAGTTTCTGAGGAGCAGCTGGTGGGTTTGAACCACAGACCTTGTGGTTCACAGTCCAGTGCTGCTCCACAGCGACACACCAAAAGTCCACCCAAAATTTTTAAGTCAGTCTGATAATAAGAGATTTCAGATACACTTGATGTTTGCCTAAATGTACAAGAATATCTAGTACATGTGGAAACATGTAAGTGTACTTTGTACATCCTAAACTATCACCCTGAAGATGGAGACTATTTTCCCCATATCCCTATCAATTCCATAGGGTAGAAATATACTAAAAGAATTCTAACCTAATACTGAAAAGAGGGCATAGTGGAATTTCTTGACTAAGTGAGAGCATAAGAAGGACAAATCGTAAATGTAACAGAAACAGAGCTATCCTCGTGATGATTCCTGCCTTAGAACAGCTGGAAGAATTTTTAAGTCATAAAAGATACTTCTAATTTATAACTAGGATATTCTCCCATATGTACTTGATTGTTTTAAACATACATTTAAGATGGTGAGAGATGCTTATACCTAGTTTAATAGTTGCATCATTGACATGATATTTGCTGATTTTTATACTGAGTATGCTACTTGTAGCGTAGTGGTTACGAATCGGGCTGCGAACCTTAAGGTCAGCGGTTCGAAACTACCAGCTGCACCGCGGGAGAAAGATGAGGCTTTCTACTTCCGTAAAGATTTATACCCTCGGAAACCCTATACAAGGTCGCTATGGGTCGGAACCGACTCGATGGCACATAACAACAACAACAACATGCTACTTGTCTGTCAGTTTGTGATACTGTGGTGTCTTGTGTGTTTCTGTGATGATGGAAGGTATGACACCAGTATTTTAGATACCAGGAGAATCACCCATGGTGTATTAGTTTAAGTAGAGCTTCCAGACTAAGACAGATTAGGAAGACGGAGAAGCAAGTCACTGTTAGCCAAATTACGACTGGAGAAGAAATATTCCTCAAAGAATAATGACATTGATGGAGTAAAGCTTTCAATATCTTAATTTGTTGATGGGGAACATTTCAAAATGAAAAGACCCAGCTGAAAACCTCCATTAATATGGTAAAATGTACAAAGTATAAATATAGGAAAATTGGAAGCCGTAAAAATGAAATGGAACACATAAAGACCAATAAACTAGACATTATTGTTGTTGTTAAGTGCCATCAAGTCAATTCCAACTCACAGCGACCCTGGGTTTCCTAGGAGTGACTGGTGAGCTTGAACTGCCGAATTTGCAGTTCAAATCAACTTAGCATTCCAGTGTGTTAACCCTCAGCGCCATACCAGGACTCCTTACTAGACATTAGTGAACTGAAATAGATCAGTATTGGTCATTTTAAAAAAGGGCAATCATACGGTTTACTATGTTGGGAATGACAAACTGAAGAAGGGTAATATTGCATTGATTGTCAAAAAGAGCATTTCAATATCTATCTTGAAGGACTATGCTGTCTGTGATAAGAAAATACCTGCGAGAAAGTCCAGAGTCCTAGTGTGGCACTCTAGAGTAATTATTGAACTGCTAACAGTTAGTTTAGCAGCTCAAACCCACCAGCAACTACTCAGAAACCTTATCTAGAGTTACTATGAGTCTAGACTGTCTTGACAGTACTCAACAGCAACAACAACAAGGAAGACCAGTGGATAATCCAAATTTATGCACTAATCAGCCAGTGATAATGAAACTGAAGAATTCTAATAGTTTTTCAGTCTGAAATTGATCAAACATGCAATCAAGATGCATTGATAATTTCTGGTGATTTGAATGGAAAGGTTGGAAGCAAAGAGAAAGAAACAGTTGTTGGAAAATATGACTTGGTGATAGAAATAAAACTGGAGCTAGCTAGCATGGTAGACTTTTGGTAGACCAATGACATACTCATTGCAAATATTTTTTCCACAACATATACTATAACAATATATGTATACTTTACCAACTGGAATACACAGAAATCCAACTGACTACATCTTTGGGAAGAGTCAATGGAGAAGCTCATTATCATTAGCTAAATCAAGGTCAGTGGCCAAGTGTGGAGCATACCATCAATTGCACATAGGTAAATTCAGGCTGATCTTGAAAATTAAAACAACCCCACGAGAGACAAAATATAACTGTGAGTATGATTGTTGTTGATTAGTGACATCAAGTAGGTTCCAACTCAGTGATTCTGTACAAAGTTTCTAAAGAGCAGTTGGTGAATTTGAACTGCCGATCTTGCAGTTCAAATTGACCTTAAGGTTCAATACTTATCCTACAGTGTCACACTAGGACTCCATCTCAAGAACAGATTTGATGCATTAGAGACTACTGATTGAACACCTGAGGGATTGTGGGATAATATGAGAACATCATACATAAAGAAAG